AGAAATGTTGGAATATATGATGCTGTACCATTAGCAATACATGGTCGAACGAAAGCCGATGCAAAAAGACTATTGACAAAGAAACTATCTTTTAATTTTGGATCTGTAAATGTATTATCAAGAGGAAGAATGCCCATGATTTCAACGCGTCGAAGTTCATTTGCACGTTTGGCCAATAAACTATTGAGATATTGAGGTGTACCAGCACAACCTAATTATAACGAGAAATATAAATATCATCTTTTATTTGATATTTTTATAATAACTAAAACAAACTAAAATAAAACCAGGTATTGCCTAATCTAGAATGTACGATAAGATAGAAAAGTATTGAGGCAACTTTTTATAATTTTAAAAAATATATATACGACAGCTTATACTGATCAAATTTCATATTTAATTCATATTAAAATTAGTGAGATTCCAGAACTCTATCTAAAGTCAGTCTTTATTAAAAAAGGTGAAGACTGATTAAAAAGTATTATACGATCGGAGAAACATAAAGACTGTTCTTTTTTTATCGACGACAGAAAGACGTTACCTATTACATAAATGTTTGAAAAAAAAGTAAAATGTCTTATTATTTCACAAAAACACCTCAGAAACTATTATGAATGGAAATCATGCACTAGAAGGTTTAGTATTTACTGGCATCTTCTGAATAAAAATGATAATATAATATTATTATAGATCTTTATTAATATACATAATTGCTGAAATTTTCTACTGAAAGGATCAAATTTCTTTTTTCTCAATGTGAAAAGTGGAATCGAACATTTAGTAATGATAATGGATCATACAAATGTATTAGGAAATCAATGGCATATAAAATAAAAAAGAAGAATAACTCAATTATTGTATTTTACTTACCGTGAACAAAAACTCGAGAACCTGATTTAATAGATGATAATGCTTGGTCAATGAGCATTCTTACCATGTCGTCAATTGTTTACACTGTAAAAATCAGCAATACATATGAATGGTTTAACTGTTTTTTTTTCATTCTTTTTTTTTAAATATTTATCGATAAGAATAATAATATTTTATTCTCGTACCTATTGAAATAGTTGTGTCAAGTTGACCTAAGTTGATGTTTGTCTGGCTCCGCAATGTTATATCAACAGATATTTGAAGTGAACTATTAAATGGACAATGAATCTTTAGTTTTTAGACATTTTTCAAATAAGAATCACAATATCTCTCTAAAATCACAAGAACATTATGGGATTTACTTCTTCACTAAGTACCTACCATAAAAAAAAACAGGAACATGAGTCCATCAGTCCATATTATACTTTTCTAAAATCTATACACAGTATACAGACGACTATCAGTAGTTGTCGTTATATGTCGATGTAATGTATCCATGAATGCATTAGGATTTGAGAGTTATCTGATCTGCAGGTAACACCATTTGTTTCGATAGTGATA